AGTAAATCGTCGAGGCCGCGAGATCCGGCTCCCACAGCGCTTTCGGACCAATTAAAAACTGTATATAGAGTCCTAATAATGACTATATTCATCCACCAAAAGATCACGCGATAATAATAATTATATGTGGTTGAATTGCTTCATATTCGATATCGCTGGTGGTGGTGAAATCGGGCGTCAGGTGGGACCGGGCGTCAGGTGATCACCGACTGTAACGTAAGATCGACCTTGCCGCTATGAGCTTGTTTGTTCTGTTTGAAGCAGCTGACACGTGATGGAAGTTCTGTGGGAAGCGACAGATAGTTATCCTATTGGGTGGCCGGTACGGCAAACTATCTAAGGTAGCTAACTGCTTACTAAGTAATGACTAAGCGAGGTCAACCCCAGTCCTCAGCCATCAGCGGCCCGCAATTCCGTGGGTCTCCAGTCGCGGCGTCTGGTCCCTTCCACCCCAGAGTGACTGAGAAAGCCTCCGTTGGACGATAAGGAGCGGATTCAAAACAAGCGGGTAAGATTAAGCAGCCTGCCTCACAGCCTCGCACGTGTTGGGCTCGCTGTCAATATCCTTTGTCTTAATGTCCTGCGTTGAACTGACCTCCGCCATCATTTGTGTAAATGACTGTGTATCAAGAGTTTGCAAGTCGAGTCAACAACGCCCCCAAGCCGCTTGGGCAGAACTGGGTTACTGGCTTTATTAAGCGCCATTAAAGCATTAAAAGTCGATTTGCGCGCAAGTACAACTATCAGCGCGCCCTCTGCGAGGATCCCAAGGCCATAAAGCAGTGGTTTGAGACTTTATAGGCCTTGCGAAATGAGAACGGCATACAACATGAAGATATCTACAACTTCGATGAAATTGGCTTTGCTATAGGCCTAATTGCAACCTCACGGTTTGTCACAAGGGCTGAGATGCTTGGGAAGCCTCATCTTATTCAGCCAGGCCAGCGCGAATGGGTCACCGCGATCGAATGTATTGAGTCAGAGGGATATATTGTTCCGCCAACCATAATCTTCAAAGGGAAGGTCCATACTGAAGGATGGTTCGAAGAACTCGGTCTCCCAGGTGACTGGAGGATTAAATTAAGCGCGAATGGATGGACTATCGACCAGATAACTCTCCGGTGACTTCAGAAGTGCTTTATTCCTTATACAACTGAGCGCACAATTGGAAGTCATCGACTGCTTGTTCTAGACGGTCATGGGAGTCATTTGACCCCTGAATTCGGCAAGGTTTGCAGAGATAATAAGATTATCTGTATCTGTATGCCTGCGCATTCATCACCCTTGCTTCAACCATTTGGGCCATTAAAGCGAGCTTATGGAGGCCTAATTGAAGCGAAGATGTGCCTGGGCTTCCACCATATTGACAAACATGACTTCCTAAAGGCCTATCCTGAAGCTCGCGATAATGTCTTTACTATTCAGAACACCCAGAGAGGCTTTCGCGCGACTGGGAGTCAGCTACTCTCTTCGGCTACTCTGATTGACCCAATGACGCTCTTTGGCAGCAACCCGCTGCTGGAACAGCTGTTTAACTCCAGTGGAATGGGATTCTCTCCTGAGACAGAGTGGGGATACGGGTGGGGTTGGGAATGGACGGGGTTAAATAGTTCGCAGGATATGTTTTGATATTATATCCCCATTTGCATAGACCATATGATTCGCGCTACGCATATCTTCGTAAGCGCTTTCATGCATGCACAGGTGGACTTTAGTAAGTAAGGCCGCCCTCGCGCAAATAAATTTATTATCTTGCATGCTTGGAGCGGAGGCTATGGAGTCAATGCAATACACAGCGCCACCTTTAGCATTGTAGCCTCCGCACCTTCCACGTTGGCCTCCTTGAAGGTTGGTCCAGGTTCCTTGCTTGATGTACGCACCACTCACTCTGAAGGCAATAGGGAAGAGCCCACGTGCGCTTGTCAGTAAGCCCCGGTCGATCCTTATTTACCCCGAGTTTAGAGGCTTGTGGACTAAAAAAGGGGTGTCTTAGCTATCGCAGGTAAATGCTGTAATAGAAGTGCGATACATTACCGGTCTCATCTAGGTACGTGAGTGCGTCTACTTAAACTTTCAGTGAGCCATCTAAAACAGCAGACTTTCCTATGAATCATCCAAGTCGTCACCATTGTTGCGCTCTAAGCTATAAAAGAGCTTGTTAAGAGGCTACGCGTAATAGTCCCCAGCTCCTATGCGAGCTAATCCAGATGAGGGTGCAAGGATGGAAGATCCCTGAGCGCGCGGGGTACGCGGGGCAGCCAGCCTGAGCTAACACGCTCGCATTAAACAATCTACCAAACTCTCAGGCCAAGCTATACCTACACTGCTGCTACTAACAGCATTAGGCATTCGGCGCGTAGTCCGTGACCCGCGTCATGGCGACACCCTTCCTCTCTCTCCCCGGCGAGATCCGCAACCAGATCTACACACGCCTCCTAGTCAGCCCCAAGCCTCTAAATTACTTGTTCAGCAAGCAAGGCGTGGCACCCAACATCCTATACACGAACAAGATCATCCACGATGAGGCGCGATCAATCCTCTACGGGTGCAACTGGGTTCGTTGTCCTGGCAACTTTTCTCCCAGTTATAGGTAGATCCCATGACGTATGTTCTCTGGCGAGTTTATTCTTAAAATAATGCCATTTCTGAGACAAGGTGTTTCACAACTGATCGTCAGTTCCTTGGCAGTGGGAACGGTCATAGCGTCGACGCGCGTATTGGACAGACCTCACACATGTAATATGACAAGAACCTCTACTAACCCATTATTAAAGCCAGCTGTTGTCATTATATGCTATGGAGCTATCGTCGGTGTAGTAGTTTGGGAAGCTCCGATTCGGTCTAGACGCAGCGGGGGGTAACGGCCAGTCGTGAAACGGCTGCTGGACGGGTTGATGGGCGGCCAGCCCAGACAGATCGATATATTGCTGATCGAGCTGGTGGATCCCGATCGGACTCTGGTTGGGCGTCGTGTGACCAGGCATAAAATGTGAATTCGGGTGTGCTGGTTGTGTGAGGCGTGCTAGTATAGTATCTATGTCGTCGCAGGGGAGGGCATCCCAGACGATAGGTTCGCCGTTGAGGTACGTAGGTGAGGGCGTCGATGGAGGGACCGTGAGGGGTATACTCGTGCTGTATGTGGACAGATCGAGAGCTAGGACTTCTTGGCGCTGCTGTTGTTCAAATGCAATGTCCTGCTCTTCGTGTTGGAGTCGGTGTTGTTCTAAGGATCCTTCACCGGCGAACCTGGCGAAACCATACAGATTAGCGAGTATTTTCAGGAAAGGGAGACATATGAGAGAGCGTACTCCTGTTTGCAGTGCGGCATACCACAAACGAATGGCCTGTCGTTCCTGTGTGACCGTTGGTGTCGGGAATAGCTTGATGGCTATGGGTGCGGCGGATTAGCCGGATACTTGAGGGACGGCATGTTTTAGAATTGATTGCATAGGAAGATGCTTCACTCACGTCGCTAAATGTTCTCTGACAACTGTTGACTTCGCAAATATATGGTCTCTCGCCAGTGTGAATCCGCTGATGTATATTCAGCGATGAACGCTGATGGAACCTTTTCGAACATCCTGGCTCAGAACAGGCGTACGGGCGCTTATCGACGTGGATCTGGAAATGTCGAGCGAGATCAGCTTTTCGCACAAAATCCTAAATATCCATGTTAGCCTTGAATCGTTGATTAACGATGAGTTTCAACGGCGACCTTGTTGCACGAGGGCCACGAACACTGAAAGACCCGCATGCCGAAACAGGTGATAAAAATAAGCCTGGAGCCTGGAGCAGTGTGCGACGGATCTTAAAGGCCTGGCCTGGACTGGAACAAGGGAGGAACTTTATAGGCGCAGCCTCAAACTCATCGCTCGGCCTAACACAGCAGTTAGAAGACACATGTTGGGAAAGTCTCACCCGTCGGGACCGTCCCTACGCCATGACCCTGGGTTAAGGTTGCCTGTCAAAAGTACCCGCTTCCCACTAATCCACGACCCACCCTTCGGCATTGGCTTTCCGAAGATCCTGGAGAACGCCTAAATCGGGGATCTGCCGCTCGCAGCAAATTAGGGGTCAAAACGGTACGATGAGCGAAAGAACGAGGCGAATGCTAAGAGAGGGTCTTTTTAAGAATAACTACAGACTCGAACCTCGACTCGAGTAATGTCAGCTGGATCATGCAACGATAGAGAGTTCGCGATTGTTACTGTATCTACCCCTACTTCCATTCTGGCTAGACGACGGTGTGCATACAGTCTCAGTCGCCTTTGCTGCTGCTGCATGAGCTACAGGCATATCTATCATGTATTTGAATGCGAGCCCTCATATTCCCATTCTTCGTGCAGCCGTCGCTTACTGATCTGTTCTCGAGCTGCGACCCTGAACGCATAGGGCGCTGGCCAGCTATCCGTGCGCATCTCCCTACGAGTCTGATCGTCGTCTTGAAATCAACCCTCGCCGATCATTGGCATAATAGTCTTTGCCCGCATCTGGGATTCTCCAACATGGTTCGCATTTCCCACATTGCTATACTAGGCAACTAGAGAATAGCAATCAGTATTATATTTTTTAAGAATGCGAGTTTGAGTTTCTGAAAACAAGTAGAGCCAACTCGCATGCACGCCGACTTTTTCTGATCGTGTTCGAACCAACGATATCCATGTTCGTTTTGTTCCATTAACTGGCTGTGCCTCGGGTCTGGACTTGAGTCCAGGCCCAGACCATCTCTTTTCAGTACATGTATCGAACCTATTAATCTTCAGTCCAATGCACACAACACCCATCTGGGACGTTCTACCCGTGACATGAGGCACAAGATCGAAAATTTTATTGTCAAAAGGCTCTCACAGAGATCAGTTATTACTTTGTCACACTCCTAATATTGAGACTCTAAACC